AAATAAACTAGACTAAACTCTATGCTAGTTATTTATGTCTATAAAAATGTTAAAAACCATCCAGTCTTGAAGTAGAGCTCCAAGGTCAAAACTTTCGGTGCTATTCCAACTAGGTTAGCAGATCTTCTGCAGTGCTTCAAATGTTATTACATTATCTATCACTATTCATCCCAAAGTAGACACATATATGTGTATGTGACTTTTCTTTTTCAGCAGCTGTTACTGTGTCGATCTTTTGTTGAAGATATGCCATTTTTTCCACTTTTTGGTGAAAATTTCGAAAAGTGCAAAAAGTGGAGTTTGATATAGGGTTTTGGTTTGTGGATAGCCTTAAATTTTAGTAAAAAACGTGTTGAAAACTCACTTGTTGTTCTCCTTAAACCAACTATCATTAACTTCGTTAGCAGAAGCTGAGCTTCTATTAAAATTTTCTGTACAAGGGCACTACCTTCTTGCTAGTTATCTTGTACAGGAATGCTTTTAACTTGTGTACTAAATATACAGAGGAGTTCGGAGGAAACATGGAAATCCTTGACCTCTATAAAAACTGTTATTTGTAGTTGTCTCTTCTACTTTTCTTCAACAAGTTTCTGTTTTCGTTAGCTATAAGTTTGGTACAAGTGATCGTTAGGAAGAGTTCGGTTTTGAAGTTCATGCTATTATTGATTACTATGCAGAACATATAAGCATAGACATTAATGATCAAACAAAATATATTCCTATTACGAATAGCATATCCAAATATCACTTATCTCATCAAATTCAAAGTCTATATTCTAATCAGAAATTAGAATTAGAACTTGAAGAGGAAGATGACATACCTATAGAACCAAGTTATTCTACAAGAGTACAAGTTGAAGAAATATTTGCCCAAACTAATCAACAATTAATAGCAAATATATGAGTTGAAAACATTCACGATCCTTGAAATAACAACATTGATAAAGTATTTAAACTAATCCAACCTGAAATAAGTGAAATTGTGAAAGAAAAACAAAAACAAAATCAAAAAGAATATTTGATACAAATTATAGAAGACAAGTCAATCTATATTGAATATAATCTAAATTAACAACAACAACAACAAGTTACTAAACTATTAAAATTCAAAAATTTTTGCAACTAAATTTTCTGAATTAAGGAAAACAAATGTAGTATATTATAGAATTAATACTGATAATTCTAATTCTATTAAACAAAGAGTTTATAGAGCCTTACCAATAAAACAAGATTATATACAAAAAGAAATTGAAATTATAAAAAAGATTGTATTATTAGAAAAACAAATAGCCCTTAGAGTTCTTTTGTAGTTTCTGTTAAAAAGAAAAATAGGAAACTATGTTTTTGTATTAATTTTAGAAAGTTAAACATGGTAATTAAAAAAGACACTTATCCTCTCTTTTGCATTAATGAAATGCTTGATAATCTAAGAAATATTCAATGATTCACATCTCTAGATTTAATTTCTGGTTATTGGCAAGTAGAAGTTAAAGAAGAAGACCAAAAAAAACAGCATTCATTACAAAATATGGGTTATACAAATTCAATATTATGCTCTTTAGACTCTGTAATATATCATCAACTTTTCAAAGGCTTATAGATAATGTTCTTAAACCTATTCTTTAGAAGAAGACATGGTGTATATTGATGATGTGAATATATATTTTAGATTATTTAAACAACATTTACAAGATATCCAGAAAGTATTTAATTTTATTAAAAATGCTAGTTTAAGAATCAACCCCAAAAATATCATTTCTATACAAATAAAATATAATTTTTTGGTCATATAGTTGGAATCAATAAAATTAAACCAGATTCTCAAAAAGTTAATAAACTTAAACTTTTTTTATTTTTTTACTTATTTTTTTAATTTTTAGTTTATTTATTTATTCCTAACTTATTTGACACTTTGCGAATTTCTTTGGCAATTTGCAAATACTAATACTGCTAAAAAATGTTTTTTTTTATTTTTTTTACTTTGAAGTAATTAGAAAAAAAGAGTAAAATGAAGGTTATAGCCAAAACAAAGAAGTATATTAACAAATTTTAAAACTATAATATTACATAATACTTATAATTGATGTGTAATATTACACAAAATTTTAAAAAAGTATGAATAGGTGTGAATTTTATTAAGAAAATTCACATCTATTCGCACTTTTTTAAAATTTTGTGTAATATATGCATCAATCATTTTAAAATTTACTAATGTAATCAATGCAAAGATGATAGAAAACAAAGAAGCAAAGATAATAGTTAACTGTAGATTAAGCAAAAATAAGTGTATAGAGCTAGTTTTTTGTATATATTAATAGAAATGAAATTAGATATGACGAAGTGCGAAAGTATTTTAAAATATTTATCATAATATAAAATAATATATAATAATATAATATATAGGTGCTGTCAAGAGAAAACCTACAATTAGACTTTTAAGTATATTTTGTATACAGTTAGTTATCTGTGTGCTGTCTATGATAAATCTATGTCTGATGATAGTTTTACTATAGATAGTATACAGATAACTAACTATACACAAAATATACTTAAAAGCTTAATTGTAGGTTTTCTCTTGACAGCACTTATATAATAAAGTATATTATATTAATTGCAAAACTTTGCGAAATAATTTGAAGATCTATAAAAAAACATGATTATATGAATATATTTGTTGTGCCTCAGACTAATGCTTGCCTCAGATCACAGCTAACGCACCTCAGATGCAGATCGTCAGGTGAGGTGCGTAACCTTTCGATCTGTCAATAAGCACTAAAAAAAAAAATTATACTGTTATATGTAAAGAAATTATTAAAAATTAAATGTGCTGAAAAATATAAACGGAAAAAATTTGCCGCGAAAATTTAGGCAAAAAAAAAAAAAAAAAAACTATATGTATAGTACGTATTAATTGGAAATAGAATGTGCCGTGAAAATTCAGACAAAGAATTTCAAAGAAAATAACTGAGGTACTAAAGAGACTTAATGTAAAAGAATGCTACTGTTTGTGGTATAATACCGGAGATTCAAGAATGCTATTGGAGGTAAGACGGCGCCAAAATGATTTAAAAATATAGAATGCTACTGGAGTTAAGAAAGACGCCAAAGTGATTTAAAAAAATGCTACCAGCGAGAAAAACACCGAAGAAATCCAAGAATAAAAAGAATTCAAGTAAAAGGTTTTTTATTCAATTTATTTTACTTAGATTGCAGCTTGGATGATAATTGATAGGCTACGCACCTCACCTGACGATCTGCATCTGAGGTACGTCAGCTGTGATCTGAGGCAAGAGTTAGTCTGAGGCACAACATATGGGAGTGAGTCAGTAGAAACACACCAAATCTTTTTTAATAAAATTTTTTTAAATCTTTAAACAAAAATAACTCAACAAAAGCTTAACTAAATTTAATATAATTTTTTTTAAAAATAAATTCTGCAAATATATAGAATTAATTTAAAAAAATTTTATTAAATTTGCTTAAATTATTGTTGAGTTATTTTTGTTCAAAGATTTAAAAAAATTTACTTAGAAAAAATTTGGTGTGTTTCTACTGACTCACCCTCATATATATATTTACTGCAAGTCGCTTTCGCTAAAAATTTTACTATCAAAATGGAATCGGTTGAAGAAACTAATAATAACTCTTTATTGAGGAGCAAAGTAAAGCATCAAACAATAACATGCAACGAATAGGTGCAGGAAGTACTAATTACGATCCTGCAAATTAAATAGCTCGAATGCTTGAAATTAGTATAATATATATATTTTAATATACTGTACTGTATATATCGCTTTAAATGTATAATAGATTTCACTAATATTACATATAATATAACGGTAACAGCAATTAATAGCTAGTGCTCTAAAGCACAATTAAGGTATATTGTAACGGTAATTATCATAGGCTTTGTCCTTGAAAAATATTTACTGTTCCATCTCTATGTTGTTAAATCGTGTGAATCGTAAAAAATCTTATCAGTTATATTGATATCTGATATGCACGTACGTACGTACGTACATACCAGATACGTAAGTATATACGTAAGTATATACGATACCTGATACGTACTATATAGTTAACCATAAGGTTACGGCATATTGATATAAATAAGTTGCGGTAAATTATATCGGTGAATTCGCAAGTTTCGGATTGCCGCATTTTTAATCGACAAGTTGTAACTAGTTATAACTGAGTTTCGACACGGCACATTCCAATGATTCAAGTTTCACCTGCACCTCTAGTAATAACACAAAGCTTTATTATTGAGTAAAATGGGTTAATACATACTTGTTATTGTATGGGTATGTAGTGAATAACCGTGGCCGAAGGCCACGGGTTATTCATATATCCATACAATAACTATATTATTTCACGGTGTCTGACGTACAATCCCGTGCAATAACCAAATGAAAAAAGCACGGGTTGTTACATAAGACCCGTGGAATAATTAATTTTACATACATATAATTATGTATATATAATTACACGTAACGTAGTGTATTGTGCACAATATTAATTGCAAATCCGTGTAACAAAAATATAAATCTCGTTTAAGGTTAGTATTAGAGTAAAATAGGTTTAAAGTTAACGTTAAGTTAGTGTTAGGACAATAGCTTATACGTACCAAAATTTCACGAGAGTTTGAATTCCAAAGAAGGTTTTATAATTGATATATATTTTAAGATAAACAATTTTTTAAAAAAATGCAATAATTTTATTTTATACCGGATCTTGTCTTTTCTATATTCTCGTGTACATACGTACACATACGTAGTGTGCAAATAGAAATTATTTAAATTTAAAAATAATTTTACTAGCATGCCTCGTTTAATATCATGTGACAAATAATATTAATGCAGTAATGTGAATATTTCTTTTCGATATACGTACTGTAACCATGATTTGTACTATCTATATTAGATGTATTATTTGCAGTGCTCTACTACTACGGTAATGGTATACCGGTTTTTCTACTGACTGACGTCCTACCAGCAATGATGGATTATCCTATCCATAAACATGCGGTTAAGCCAATAGATAATAGTTTATGCAACAATGATGCTCGGACAATGGGAATATTCCAAGTAAACAAATTACGTAGCCAATGTCTTAGTCGGTTAGCTTAACCAGCAGACTAAAACAATGTACTGTACGTAGCTTAGTTATGATAGTTGAGATAGTTGAGATATACGTTTTAAATACAATATATAATACAATATATCTGATATAGATACCCAAAGTAGTTTCTTGGCCGGAAAGATTTCTTGGCACAAGGATATCCGCAGTACGGTAGATATCATATTCTATTTAACGTTAGCACCTACATCGTCCCCTTAATTGGCATGCTTAATTTTTTTACCTGTGCCTAGCATTATGTGACCATCATTCAATGATGTAAATATTATTCAACGATGCAACCAGTATCTAATTCTAATTCAGTGATTATATTCTAAAACAAGTTCTTCGAAAATTAGAATCACATTGAATCATTCAGAAATTTTAGTGCCTCAATGATTATAACTTAATACTGGTTTTGTTTTTAAAATTCATTATTAACCTTAAATTGTATTTTACAAAGTTACCAATTAGTTTGTCTTTTTAGTAAAAACAATCATATGATTATATAATGTAGATTACTTGAAATCATTATTTAGACTATTTTAGACTTTCTTTTAGACTTTCGAAAAAAAAACACTTTTATGATTATGATTATGATTATGATTATGATTCTCGATGACATTGATGACATTGTCAGTTCTTTTATTAATCTAGAAAATCTAAAAACTAATACGTAATAATAAATTGATTTTCAAATGCGTAATACGTAAATGTTTATCATGACCCGGATTTCAAACATATTCTGAAACGTTTCCTATTCTATAAAATTATCCTCCTGAAGGCTGAAAAATATGCATGTAATTTAGCTAAATTTAGAAAATCTTCCGGCTCTCTTCCGACTTAATAAACGGTTATCGAAAAGGAAAGGTATGATTATTGACAGTTATTATTGTTGTTATTACTTTAACACGACCTAAAAAAACATTAACAATAATAAAATTCACGAGCCAATCCATTAGAGTATCGCACATAAGAATTATTAGAATCTGTTACATAGCATAAATTTCACACAAATAGGAAATGCATGGCAGTACGACAATTATCTTGGATTCTATATTTGGTCTTTGTTTGTATCTCAGTTTATAAGATCATCAAATTAATTAACAATTTATCCAATTAAACTGTAAAAACGTGTAGTGGTTAATTACAGAATTAATAGAATTAATTCTTATTTTTCCCCAGTACAACCGAGCTCAGCTAAACTCAGAAACTCCGTCTTTCTTTCGTAAATTTCGCTCGCACTTCTGTATGTAAAATATTAGTAAAAACATTATCAGCAATGCGAAAAAGTTCACTCCAATCGGAAGTATCATTTGATAGTAGAGAAGAAATTACTATAGTACGTCCAGGTGACTTACCTCTTGACTCAACCTCTGATAAAGTCGAAAATCTTGAAATTAATGAGTCTGAATGCCTTTCCATCGAAAATGCTTCGGATGTTCAAGCAAATAATGTAACTTTAATTAATGATGAAATTATTTGGCTGGATACCAAATTTTCAACAAATACCAAAGCTATTCTTAGTACAAACGACACTCAAGTTTCTATTTCAAATGATAATTTAGACAAACCGATTGAAATTGAAAATTCTCAATTAAATAATCATGAATCAGGGGGTACTGAAAATTTATTAAAACGAAGACCAGGTGCTCCTGCAAATCTAAACTTAGTTTTCAAACCAAAAAATACTGATAATGATCAAACTTCTACAATATTATCTTCGCGTTCTGACAATTCTGGATTAGCCACTGCAACACGGGAAAATATAGAATTACTTAATTCGGAAATTTCTCAGGTCAAATCAGATAGTCTTGGTAATGACTTAAATCCCGAAGATTCAAAAAAACATGCTCATTCATCATTCACATCAATTACTCCCAAACAAAATCACTGGAAGGATGTAAAAAAATATATTGGAAAAACTTCTGCAGTTCTTGGTGCTTTACCAAAAGGTGAACTTGATAGAGACTTGCTCGCTAAATTGGAAGAGCAGAATTCTCTATTACCTAGACAGGTAAGTTACTGATATCTCTTCATTTATCATTGATTTATCATTGATTTAAATCATTGTTTCTTGAATATATAGAATTCTGTTGAATTCATTTTAGCTCGTATTGAACGACAAAATCAACTTTTGGATAATGATCCAAAATCTGTGTGCATTCAATCCAATGGTCTCAAAGCTAATTTGGAGACCATACAATCACTCATAGATGATAGTACAAATCCAGCTACCGAAGGAGATGAGTTACTTCCAAATGAAAAGATTACGGATTGGGATTTTTGGTCTGCATTGATTCAAGATTATACTTCTGTGGCCACAAAACTTCCTGAACTTCTTACAGCAAAATTACAATCTGGTGTACCTCCAAAATTAAGAGGATTGGTTTGGCAATCAATGTGTCAGGCTTCTTCAACCTATCTAGAAACAATGTATTCCCAATTATTATCCGAATCTTCTCCTTATGATAAAATCATTGAACGTGATTTGGCACGAACGTTTCCACATATTGATATGTTCAAAGAAGAAAATGGCAAAGGGCAGACTGGTTTATGGAATATATTAAAGGCATATAGTTTGTATGATCCGTTGGTCGGATATTGTCAAGGGCTTGGATTTTTAGTTGGTCCGATGTTGATGAACGTAAGCATATAATTTTATTGCTACACGTAATCTTAAAAATCTTAAAGTAATTCATATTTATATGCGCGACAATTTTTTTATTTTTAAAAAATAGATGACTGAGGCACAAGCATTTTGTGTATTTGTTCGGTAAGCATTATCATCTTAAAAAACATAAATAGTTAATTAAATATAAATATTATCGATTATCATGAGTCTTACATCATATTTTTTCAAATATTTTTGCAAATATTTTTGCAAATAGCTTAATGGAAACGTATGACATGAGAACTATGTTTACACTCAACATGGAGGGCCTTCAACTCCGCCTTTATCAATTCTCAGCACTTCTCGCTCAAATTCTTCCAAAACTTCATGAACACTTTCAACGCCATGCTATACATCCTGCTATGTTTGCTTCGCAATGGTTTCTATCACTTTTTGCTTACACTTACCCTTTGCCATTGGTACTTCGTATTTATGATATAGTATTTGCTGAAGGTGCACCTGAGACAATTATGCGTGTAGCAATTGCATTATTGAAGAAAAATGAATCCAATTTACTCTCGTATGAAGAGTTTGAAGATCTTTTGGATTTTCTCACATCTCGATTATATGAGGCCTATGATAATAAACCAACTGGACTCATTAAGGATGCTATGGCATTAAGTTCAGTAATAACAAAGGCAAAATTAGATCAACTTTCTAAGAGTTATGTGAAAGAATTAGAAGATCAAAAGAAACGTTCCGAAAAATTAGTTGCTGTTCGATTCAATGGAAGATTTGCTGCTCCCAAAAAGGAAAAGAAAGAAGAAGTTAAGAAACCACAAAAACGTGAAAAACCAAATTATAGGTGGTCATTTACAGCCCTTCCAAGTTCCAAGCAATCTGTCGCCTCTTTACAATCTGTTACAAATATATCCAATGATGTACCAGCTACAAGTGTTTCCAATGATGTATCACTTGCCTCAGACAATGATTCAATAGTATCTTCGACACCTACGACCGCTTCGTTTGATAGCAATAACACAGGACTTTTACATACACAAATTGAAGATTTAGTGACTGCATTATCCCAACTTCAAAAGGAGCACGCAGATGTTCTTGAACAATTAGTTTGCATAAAGATGGAAAAAATGGATTTGGTGACAGAGGTTGAAGGGTTAAAATCACGGTTAAGGGGTATTGAAAAAGAGAACAAACGATTATCTGCAAATTCTGTAATATTTTCTGTCGATTCTACAACCATAAGTTTAAGTGATATATCTCGGTTAGATGATTCTGATCTAACGCCTCGTCCATCAACTGATACAACGTCACACAAAAGAATAGTATCAGATTCAGATTCAGATTTACTGACAAAAGCACAACAACTAGTTTCTACATTCATACCTAAGTCACGTGCTTTATCCTCGTCGACTTCGTCATCATCATCAATTTCTTCCATTCAATCAATAAATAACAATCATTTAAATACCACACCACCAACACCAAATTCTTCTGAATTTTATACAATCGACTTGTCAGATGAACGCGAAGAACAAAGTCCAAACATTTCAGCTCTTACTGAAGAACTTATTAAAGTCAAAATGCAAAAATTCGATTTAGTACAAGAAAATGAGGAATTACTTAAACGTAATGAAGATTTAGAGAGTGCCTTACAATTATCTAAACAAGAACATATTTTATTACAAGAAAAAAATATCTCACTATTAGTAGAAATTGAACGCCTTGATGAAGAAGCAGCACAAGCAGTATATGAAAAAAATTCTATGGAATTTGAAGTGAAAGAAGCCAGAGATATTAAACTTCAAAATGGAAAATTACTCAAAGAAATTGAGAAACTAAAAAAAGAAGTGGAACAATTGAAACAAAAAGGATCAAATAAAAATACATTACAAGATGCGCCCACTATTAGACATAGTACATTATTTGAATTTATCGTTGAAAACGTAGATGACCCGTCAATTTCATCAAAAAGAAGGGATAGTGAGTCACAATCAATATCATCGATATATTCATTACCACAAAACCATGCTATGGAAAACGAAGATTTTCAGATTGTTACGGCATGTAATGGTGAATGTGATACTGCAAAAAGAATTGATGAATTGGAGAAAATGTTAATAAATGTAAAAATGAAATTGGCCCAAAGTGAAGAAGTTAGGGAATCCTTGGGAAATCAATTGGATGGATTAAGACATTTGGTAAATGCTTATAACGAAGATCTTTCCCCAACATCGCCAACTCTAAGGCCAAGAAGTCCAAGAAGTGAAAAACGGGCATCATCATTGTCTCTGGCTTCATTTTTTGGTGGCACATAAATCATCACAATGATATTGAATGGATATACAATGATATTGAATGGTTATATTATATTTCTTGTACTTTTATACATATTATAAATATTCATAGACTTTGTATCTTTGTAGATATAAATCTTTTTTGCCCTTTTTTTTGTTTTGACAACATTTCATTCTTTCTTTCATTCTTTTTTTCATTCTTTTTTTTTTCAACTGATTTTGCACTTTTTTTGTAACTTATTAAAATTCGGCAATTTATTTAATAGATGTATTCTCGAAAAGATTTTTTTAAAATTGATATAACTTTGTGTTAAAATTAATAGATTCTTCGATTATTGTTTTCTTTCTACAAAATCATCAATTTAAAAAAAAAAACTTTTAACATTACATCTATCTACATGTTTTTAAACAGTTTTGACAATTAAAGGTAACGGTAATTTATAGTCCATAATAAATGCATCTAAAGTTATTACAATTAACTATGGATAGCTAATTTTGAACGTGAAGTACAAAATCTTTAATATATTTTTAAGACTTACAGTGATAACGAATATACAGTACTAATGAATATATCCGACCCTAAGTTTACAACCCCATATCGATATTGAGATGACGACATCTAGAAAAATTCATAACTTAGATAGCTCTATAACCAGATTCGATCATAGCAAAAAATTATCAGTCGCCTATAACAATACAGTACTGTACTTTGGTTTCCAACAATAAATCTAAATCGGGCAACTTAGTTGTCGAGAGCCTATTCTGTTATACAGACACGTACGTACATACGTACAAATAATATCTCCACAAAGTTTTAAAACCTAATACATACTGCATATATACGTCTAAACGTAAAGCCGTGTCCAATTACATATTGATCTACATATCGCATAAATCGTATCCTTGATATTTTATAAACCACTAACCATAAATGCATCAAAAATGTAACCCCCTCACCGGACACGGTTTTAGCCATCCCATTCAAGGCAACCTATTAACATATCGATATGGACAGTGATGTCATATTCAATGGTCCAATGGTTCATTGGACGAACAAAATCCAATGATTTTGGCGCGTCCAAGTCTAATTGCAAATATTGCAATGTCAAAAAATCACGGTTGGACGTTGGATTAAATATCCAATTTTGTTCAATGTACATATGGATATGTTTTCTGTGATGCATGTGATATTATTTGGAAATATGAATAACCGTTAGATACGAACGTATGAAAATTTTGTCGAATCAGAACTCTGAAAATTATAGATCTTTAATTTCCAAAGGTAACCCACAAACAACCAAGTCGTTCACTATAATAACATAGCTATTGAGAACTACTGTTATTTTATTTTATTTTTTTTTTTTACAAAAAAAATAGTATCTCCAGATTATAAAGTTACGCGAATTTCCGAATATTCATTGAGGGTTACAGTCTTGGTTGCCTTTAGATGATTTGCAGCATGGAGAAATATTCATTGAGAATTACAGTTTTGGATGCCTTTAAATGATTTGCACCATGGAGTTAAGATTCATACCTTTTTTTATAAATGTAGATCGCACTTGAAGGGTATAAAGTTCATAGTAAAAATCGGCGAATTTCTATTACTTTCATATGAAAGATAAATGCAAATCAATCGCGATATATTGAAGCAATTTTAATAATTCTACTACTATTAGAACCAGAATCACTTGCTCTACATTACTTGTTAGAAACTCAAGGAAGGTTTACTTAGTGTAAAAAAAAAAAAAACTTTATTATAAGTTAGAGCCATAGGAAAACTATATTAGCTCCTGACAAGTTCATACACTTTAACCGCGATTTACCTCTTAAAAGTCCTTTTGTTTGAATAGCACTCATGTTCGTAATTACATTGGATAAAGCATGTGAGCTATCATGTTAATAAATTCCATAACCATATTACCGTTAGTAACTGAAAATTCGGTAGAATTGGAGTCCTATTTGAAAAAATACACCATAAAAAGCTTTGACTACTCACAATTTAGTATCTGCGAACGCATTGGCGAGAGTGGTTACGCAATCGTGTATTCTGCCACTTTCCAAGACAGAAATATGCATTAAAGAGTCTAAACAATAATCTGAGGTTCGACAACAAAACGTTCGAAACGACTCAAGCAGGAGGTAATGCACTTAACTTGTTGTCCAATATTAAGAATCTAAATTCTCATTATTTTTTACATTTACGTATATCTTGTAAAATTCCATGGAATTTGTAGAGGTGTGAACTTTACAATTGAATATATGAATGTTGTTTTCTTTGTTAGGAAATGGCAATCCCGAAGTCATAAAGATTTGATTGTTCCATAATCCATTTTAATAAACATGGATTTATTTATTCATTTATTTTGTAGAGTTCAATGGGTTACATGGTAGTTTTCCTGGAAAAGATACCGATACATAATGAATAACCTCACATTTCAGAACTAAATTGTATGAAATTTAGATGATAAAATGGATGGTAGTCTAAGAGAATATTTACGAAGCAAAATACAAGATCGTACGTATTTACAAAATTTTATGGGCTGATCTTATTCGGCTTACAAAAGAAATTACACAATAAAAAAATAATTCAGTGGGGTTTAGTAGGTTTATCCTTTAATGCCCTAATTTCTTCTATAAATTGAATTAATAATAATCTCAAAGCCTTATATATGCATTCCAATGTTTTAATAAATGACGGTAGAGTTCTAATTACTGATTTTTGGGGTCCGCTAAAGCGGGGTAACTATTAAATTGACGTCCAGGGGGGTCGTACAGAAGCTAGCATAATAACTACCTTATCAATCTTTTAACAAATTAGTTTTTATTCGAATTCTACAGACTTGTAGAATTTAGATAAATTTTTTTTTCGAATTTGGTCGGGTGGTTGTCGATATATCTTCGCTTAAAGTTTTTAAAATTCAAAACACAAAAAGACCTAGCTGCCGCACCAATTTTGTCATGGCGGATACTCGATTTAAAACCTTTAAATTCGTTTATGTTAGGGTTAGCGTTTCAACTAATGCTAAAAACTAAGGGGGTAATACGTAGTAAAATTACTCGAGGAATTTTTTTGGTTAGTGCACAAAAGTAGTGTTTCAAGCCATGCGGCTGGCTTAGCCAGCCGGCAAAAAAATCGGCTAAGCAGCTGGCTAATAACTAAAGCCAAATTTTTTATCTTCAGAAATTATTGAACATTTACTCAATTTTTTTTTTCATTCTTGCTCGTATTTTATGTTCGATCATTTTCTTTTTGAAACCTATTACTTAATTCTGCCCGGCATTATCATTTCGGCCTAAATTATACTATTAAAGTCTTGTGATCTTAGCCGCTACTCTTGGCATTAGTGTTACATTTCTGCTTAATATCACATGATGCTGAATTACAGGGGTATACAGTAATAATGTTCTACTGGGGTCTAATGCAAGTCTAATTACAAACAATTGCAATAACTTTTGAACAGACAAACCCACACAAATAAAATTATATTTATCGGGTTCATTTTATTTATTTTTATTTTTTGGAGTATATTGTGAACTCAATTTTTATGCAAAATAGTCATTTTTGATATTAAAAATATCAAAAATGTAACTTTAAATTTTTTAGTCGATCACCAACAATACGATTGACAAAACTTTTTAAAGACATTTGTGATATTTTTAATAAAAAAACATCAAAAATGACCATTTTGCATAAAAATTGAGTTCTCCACTATACTCTAAAAAATAAAAATAAATTTAAAAAAAGGCATTACAGTATTACATTAAAGAACACATTAAAATGAACTCGACAAACATAATTTTATTTGTGTGCGTTTGCCTCAAGAGTTATTGCAATTTAAATCTTATATGTTTTTACTATTTACGCTGCCACTGATCTACCAATGATGCATTATGTTCTACGTTGATCACAAAATTCGTGTGATTTTTCAATCTCCACCGATTGAAAAATAATCAATTATTAATTAATTAATGGTTTTTATTATAATTAATATATATACAAGCCGATAGAGCCATTTCGCATCTCTAATTATTAAAATCATTACAGAGATTAAATGATATATGACGTATTAGCAAATTAATATAAATAAGAAAAAAAAATACACTTTTACTTTTTTTCAAGGGACTGCACAATATCCAAAGAAAAAATAAACGTTGTTTAATGGACAGGAATAGATATAATGAGTGTTTGCGTACTACATTTTATAGCAACGGGTACCGTTAAAAGTAATATATCAAGCGTAACTCGTCCAACATTTGAAAATCATAAAACAGTCCGCAATCCAGCCATCTTAAATATTCAACAAAATCGTAACCTTATTCGAAATAGGATGCAATAAAAATATAGAAAAAACGCGACTGAACTTTTAAGCCCGGTGAATTAGTAAAAATTTATATTCCAAGCATTGACAGACAAAAATGGACCGTTGATCTTTACCTTGCAAAATCATCCAAAAACGGCCCAATCGTGACTCATATCAAGTTGCTTGCAAATGAACTAGAAACTTTATCGTGGCTCCCTTAGATAGCATGATTTCATTGAGACAAACCGAATTTAATCAAAGGTTTTTTCGATCTTTAAAAACAAATATTGAAGAACTAATTAGTAAAAACAAAAAAGTTAATTTACATGTCGAAAGGTAAAAAAAAAAAAATTATAAATATGTGTAAATTAATATAATTTATCAAGTAATAATTAATTATCTGTTATATACTTTTACATAGAAAAACCCAACTATTCGAAGAATCCCTGAATAACGCAAACGAAACGACCATTTTTCCAACCGAAAAAAAGCCGTTCTAATGAAAATAACAAAAAAATCAACCTAATTGTTCATAAATAATGTAAAAATAGATTATTTTTTTTATTTTTGCTTCAAATTTATGTAACAGAGCATTTATGATAAGGCTACGTATAAGCATTTATGATTATGTTTGTACGCTACATAAGGGTTTTTTATAAAAAAAAAATTATCTGAGCAATAAATTTTCACCGATTATGAAATAGCGTACGTTACTTTTAA